GCAGTAATATCAATTTGTATACTCGTTTTTGGCTGCATCACACTTCTTATTACTCTTCTATTTTTCATACGAAACTGGTCTTTGCGCCATATGACTTTGTCCGGTGCGGTAAACTCGAGTCGATATCGTCAAGCGTTTTTTCTACGTAGTTTCTTTCATTTTTTCAAATTTATATCCGTTTGCGTCGGTACTGCCTATGTATTTACATCGAAGATACCAGCAAATAACAGTTGTGAACCTATTCGCTTTTATCTTGGTATTGTATGCTTCAGTACATGGATTTTAATGTTGGTTGGGCCACCAAAACCTTCACTTCCAACACGACGATCATTCATCCTAGAATGTATTATTCTTGTCTTATCGACTAGTTTCCTTAGTACTTACCTCGGTTTTGTAGCATCAGCTATGAATAAAACTCAAGAATCCGAATGTACATACACTCGTATTGAAGATCTCTACTTTGGTGCACCACTCAAATCATTTGCTTACGTTGGAATTATTTTGGCTGGTTGTACGATTGGTATTAATATACTTGGTACGATTATCAATCAATTCTTTCTTCGTCTACCAAGTTTACGAAGAGTTTTCATCTATTTATTAGCTATTCATTATGCAATATCTTATTTGATAGTCGTCGTTTTTGTCTATTATTTTTCAGTCGGAGCCATTCTTCTATATCAACCTCGTTCAGGTGGATCGTGCCGTGTAGTAGCTCCCAATCTTTACAAAACTCTTTTGATATGGCAATCAATTCGCGTATTTTTGCCACTTCTTATTTTATCGTTTGCATTGCTTGCTGTTTGTCTTGGTGTTGTATGTGGAGCTTGTCTTGCAGCGTGTTTGCCGGCGTCGATCACTGTTCCACTTCTCGAAATGCTCCGAGTAGGTTTTGTTTTAAAGATTCGAAATTCGACTATGATTCCTTCTATTCAGGCAAGACTACCAGATACGCCAGGTGCAATCAATCCAAACCCTCCAGCATCACCAGATACTATTGATGCCTTGCCAATGGTAGTCTTTGGTCAAGTGGCTGATGAATTCAATCAAACTGAATGGTCAGTAAAGATATATAGAAACGATCTTTCGATGATAATCTCTCGTGTTTTAAATATTTATCTAGCACCATTTGTCGAGCTGATTATGAGGCCAATGAAAGATTAAAAATATTGCCATGTGGTCATTTATTCCATGCACGTTGTGTAGCTCATTGGCTGTCAATTACACGTATCTGTCCTGTTTGTCGTCAACGCATCACATCAGCAAATTTGTAGAAGTTTTTTCAAACTTGTTCCTGTGCGTATGTCTTTGATTATTCATCATATTTTACATAAAGAAAATTATGTCCTTTTGATATTCACCTCACACTCTACATGCTTCAGTGTAAATGGGATCTAAGATTTGATTGTTGAAGACGTTTTCGATTGAAGTTGAGGATGTGCTTGATTTTGTCAGATAGTTAATATAATATGAATCGAAAAATTGTCAAACTTTCCAAGCCAACCCCAAGCTTTTTCAAACCCAAGCCTGATCAATCCCAATGAATTGGGTTCGGCATATCCCTATGACTAACTGCATTCGTATGCAGAGAGTTATCCACTCGCATTTTTCTCTCTCTCTGTTTCTCTCTTCTTTCTCGCAAAATAATCAAATGACACTTGAAACATTCGGTTGTTCTTCCATCAACATACGACCCGCAGAGAATGTAAACAGAAGTGGCTAAAGGCAATATTCCATTGCTTAGCATTTTTAATGGACAGAACCGAATGGAAGAATAACAATCAACTTCACTTAAGATTTGTTTCAGCGCAATTCGCTGCAACACTGAATGTTGTTGGAGACGGCATTGGAATAACAATGGTGAAACAAACCGGAGACACGCCTCTAGATTGAGGCAACCGTTGGAACATTTTCTCAAATCTTTTTCGAAGGCTTAAGTCTTATGAGAAGTAGTGTCTTGCAGTTTCGGATCATCGTTGATGAATGATTAAAAGTTCGTTAGTTTCACATTTCCTTCGAAAAGATTTCAGGTATTTCCTCGCATATTACAGTCCAAAAAGGAGAAAGTTGTTTCAGTCATTTGATATTGAACTGTTGAAATCATTAGATATATTGTCAAACTTTTAAACGTGCATTTCAAGATGTCCGATTGAGACCTTCAAAAATGCAAATTCTTTGTCTTAGGATAGAATATAGCACCTATTTCCCAGCGAATGGATGCGGATGTGGGTGTGGGTGTGGGTGTGGGTATCGATGAGAAGCTAGCACAACACGACGAATTACCACGACGAGAGAAAAAAGTCTATTGCTCCAATGAATCACCAATCATAAAATTCAAAAACAAAAACCACCACGGTGGAGAACAACAATTTGGCCATGGCGGCCTTAGCAACAAAAATAAGTGTGAAGCTAGCACGACGAAAAAAAAGCACAGAATTTTGACAAAAAAATCAATTTATGCATCAGACCGTCCATTGCCCGGACATGAGCTACATATCATCTTGTAGAGAATTTAATTCTCTACAAGATGGTATATTCATCATAGCGCGAATCAATTTTTAACGGGGGGTCAAAAAGGAAAAGAACATCCGACCCCCACTCTGATGGAATGATTTGCGATATGGCGATGGGCTCTAGTCCAGTTAATATCCATTGCAAAAAGAGGATGAATATATCATTCGATAGAAAATTGAATTCTCTACAAGATGGTGTATTCATCATAGCGAGAATCGATTTTGAATGGCGGGTCAAAAAGGAAAAAAACATCCGACCCCCACTCTGATCGAATGATTTGCGATATTGCGATGGGCTCTAGTTCAGTTACTATCCATTGCAAAAAGAGGATGAATATACCATTCGATGGAGAATTTAATTCTCTAGAAGATGGTATATTCATCATAGAGAGAATCGATTTGGCAGGAGGTGCGGAAAGCGAAGAAAAAGATCAGCCTTTGTAGAGTGAGGCCATGTTTTCGCATATTGAGAATCGTCTCGTTTGAAGTCGGTTTCCATTACAAAAGGAGGATGAATGTATCATTCGATAGAGAATTTAATTCTGTGGAAGATGGTATATTCATCTTGGATAGAATAGATTTCGAACCGTGTGTGCATATGCAAAGAAATCATGACGCGTGACTGGGCGGGGAGTTTTTTTGAATGGATTGAAAAAGACAGAAAGGAAAAATGTCGAAAGGGCAAAATATCGAAAATAAAAATGTCGAAAACAAGAATATGAGGTGAAGACAAGGGGTGAATAGCGGGATCCTGGAATCCTGGAATTCAGAGGAATTTTAGGGAATCCAAGGGAATCTGAGAGAATCCGAGGGAATCCAAAGGAATCCAAGGGAATCTGAGAGAATCCGAGGGAATCCAAAGGAATCCAAGGGAATCTGAGAGAATCTATATATTTAATGTTCAGTTTCTGTCTGTGCCGTATTAAAGGTTAAAAGCCAAGGGTCAAGCGTTAATGGTCATATAATGCTATAAGGGGAAGAAGCCAAGGGCTACAATACCAAAGATCCTGATGGGCTATTATATGAAGGTACCCATAGGTTCTCATGGTTCATGATATGGAGGTACCTATAGATCCTCAAGGGTTATTATATGGAGGCGCCCATAGGTACTTATGGGCTATCCTACAGAGGTATCCAAAGATTCTTAAGGGCTATCCTATGAAGGTACCTATTGGTCCTTAAAGGCCATTGTGGGAGGGGTACCTATAGGCTCTCAAGGACTATTATATGAGGGCACCCATTGGTCCTGAAGGGGCGTCCTATAGGGTACCCATAGGCCCTGAAGGGTGTAAGACAATAAAGGGGTAAGGCTACAAGAAGGACAAGAGATATAAAGGCTACATAGGCTATAAAAATATATGCAGTGCAACAGTATTAGGCTGTAAGACTTTGATCTGTACACATAATATCGCGTATCTGTATGTCTATTATCTGATCAAAAGTTAAACACCTGAAGACATATGTTAAAGAGGAAACGAACCGTGCAGTATGCATGGGTTCTCGCTAGTCCTATACAGTCTTGAAGTCTTCAGTCCTTAAATTGATTACTTTGCAGAACACTCCTTTATCATACGTATCGTGTTAATGGAACACATCTAATAACATTTTTCATAGATACTTCATTCAGGAGTTTAGGTTTCAACCACGGCTAGACAACTTTATATGTTTTAGTCTTTATTTTAGGTTTCGATTAGGTAACAGAAGATACAAAAGAATGTAGCTCATGAATAATAAAACCCTGGAAGTCTTTGAATATAAAAGTATTTTAAAAGTCTCAATAGTAAAAGAGGGACTGACGATTATTGCCACTCCTGCTTTGATAAAATTACATATATATAAAAGCAATAAAAAAAAGTGTTGAAGATAAGTTCAGAACCCAGGTCGATCGTTCCGGTCACCGGATACTGCAGGAACCGGCAGGAAAGACGCGGAAAGATCGCCGGTTCCTGCAGGAAAACACCGGAAATCAACGGAACATGGAAGCAGTATTCCGGCTGGAAGTTTTTCAGACTTTTTCCGGCGGGTTCCTGCCGGAAAGAACAGGAATTGGCTGGAATCCACCGGAAAAAAATCCGAAAAATTTCCGACCGGAATACTGCTTCCATGTTCCGTTGCTTTCTGGTGTTTTCCTGCCGGAACCGGCCGGTACTTTTCGACCTGGGAAGTAAAGAGTTCGTCACTGATAATAAACAAATCTACGGTACATCCCACAAAAAAAATTTTAATGAATGATGAAGAATCAAATTAAAAATTGATTATTAAGGCAGTATTATACTCTAATTTTTATCCGATTTTTCAGCCTTTAAACACGGATTCCATTCGATTAAATCTTTTAAAATCTATTTCAATTGATCTATAAAATTAAATCAATTATAATTATAATAAAAAATCGATTTAAATTAATTAAAGTTTTCTAACAAACAAAAGTAGATTAAAAAAAAGATTAAATAGGGTGAGTGTGGGTATGGGTGCAATAAGAAAGACTTACATCCATACCTAAGAGAATTCTATGGAATTCAAAGGAATCTTGTGGAATTCTGTGGAATCCAAGGGAATCCGAGGGAATCTTAGGGAATCCAAGAAAGGGATGGGAATCCTGGAATTCAAGATTCCTGGATTCCGCTATTCACCTCTTGAGTGAAGATGAACATTTAAGATTGAAGATAAGGGAGGGGAAATTTGTACTTCAATATACTCTCGTTTACAATATTTCTTTCCATCTACATTTGTTTTATTTTTGTTTTCGATATTTTTATTTTCGATATTTTTCCTTTCTACCTTTTTCCATCATACCGTTTTTTTGTGTGTAGAGGATAGATGTACACTTAGATTCATGTGTCAGAGTGGGATATTTGTGATAGAAATGAATGTACGACATCGTGAATAATTAATGAGATGGTTTTGAAAGTGATAGTAGAATTGGTGGTGACTTGACTTCATAGGAGATACGCCTTCGATGGAAGAGAAAATATACAGGAAAAAGGAGTGAATTGCAGTGAAACATCCGTTTTTGTTTCAGGTGTAACGAGTGTCAGGTGTTGATGTAAGTGGAAAGATCTTTTCTTATATAAAATCAACTGAAATAAAGAGAAAATTTTGTAAAAAAGACGAAGTCAGTGTGTAGGCATTTGGTGCTCGAGTGAGAGCACGAGGTTTCTTCATGATGCCGATGGTTTTATATGACTTCATGAATACAAGTTTTTGGTTAATGATATAGGGTGTTTTTATAGCTGGAGCTTGGATGATTTTGACTGTACTTACTCTTATTTTGATGCTCTTCTAGTGACCTGTTAGGGTGAGAGCTGGATGCGTGAGTTCGTTCGTGAGTGTTGGTGATTTTTTAGATTGTATTGGATCCTGTATGGATCTGTTGGAATACGCGATGAATGGTGTTGGTCTGTGCGATATGAAGTTATTCTCAGGTGTCGGATTTTGACGCCAGTGGAAAATCGAATCTCTGTAAATGAGATTGATCATCTAGTAGAGAATTAAATTCTCTATTCATTGGTGTACTCATCCTCTTTTTGCTGTGGAAAATAAGTCCACAGAGAGGGATTTGAATATCGTTAAGGATGATATTTGATGGGTAGGGCAGGAACCGGGCGTTGGGGTGGGAGGTGTTTTTTGTAATTTTTGTTATTTTGGTTTGAGTTGTGGGGAAGGGGCGGGGTGAATATTTTTGATTTTACAGGATTTTATAGAGGGTTGCTAAGAAGTTTCATGGTGGTATTTTATGGATGGTACATGGTAAAACATGGATT